GCTATCACAGGTTTGAGTCAAGGCTGATGTTTTCCCCCCACTCTCTGTCTGGGGTTATTAAAATAACAGATGAAAAAAGATATAAAAGATATAAGTAATCTAAATATAATCTAAAAATAAAATAAGAAACATAAAGGCCACTAGGCTCTAAAGAAATAGGCACAGGCCCATAGCATTATAGGAACCCTGCCATACTTAACACCAGGTATGAGATGCTTTTACACCTCATGTTTCACGTGAGACCCGTGAAGATCTCACATGAAACGCAGGCCTGTCATGATTGGTATCTCCAGATCCCGACAAGGCCGAAGTAACAAATATACACTGCTATACTTAATGGAAGAATAACACATCTTACCTGGGATTGACAGGTGTCTCAAGGATTGGATGATTTTTGTAAAGAATGACAAAGTGCTGCTTTTTTAACCTTTGATTTTCTTTTGACTCCACTTATGTAATAAACACTAAGTTAGTATGTTAACTTTATTCTTCCATAGCTGTAAAAGGAAATCAACACAAACAGCTTTTTAGTTTTTGCATTGAATTTTACTCTTCGCTTTTCTTTTTCATACAAGTACTGTCACGGAAATATTAGCATACATACAGGAACATCGGGTGTAAAGATGGGGCTTGTTAGACATGTCTTAATGGATTCACACCAGTGGCAGTGATTTCCGCTTTTCTACAGAGAATGTTTTTCCAGGAAAACCTTTAAATGAGTTTTAAATGAGTCATCCAGACATCTGAGTTGGCTCAGATGTCTGGATGACTGCATGAGCAGATCAGGATGAAGGCCAGAAGCAAAACAGAATATACCCAAGGAAGTTTCAGCATATATTCAATAAGCTGCTATCAGCATTGTTACTTCAAAGGAATAAATTTCAATCTTATACCTCAAGGACTTTCACCCCCGCTTTAAGGCAAAATAAAAACCTTCAAAGTTAATTTCTTCAGATGATTATCCATGGATGTTTAGAGTGTGCTAAAGTTCTCAGACATCAAAATACATAAAGGCTTAATTTTTATAGAGTAAATTATGACATGGTTGAACTGTTCTAGTAGGCTTTAAGTTTATCAAATAATTCTAGTTCCTACTATAAAACAAGGTTAATTAGACATTGAAAACCAGGAACTGAGAATGGTTGAACTTTGTGGATAGAATAAAGTGGCAAGATTAAAAAAGAGGCTAGAGTGGAGTAATTCTCAGCTTTTTTGCTCTGAAGTCACCGCCGAACACCACAGATAATAATCTTTTTGTTGTACCATTACAACCCTTTTTTTCTGCATGCATTTCAGCAAAGGGAAACACTGCAACCCCCCCGACTTACCTTGCAACCTGGTGAAGTGGAGTACTTTAAGAAGCAGCCTCTTGGCCCTGGACAGCGCCAATAAACAGTATGGAGTTGAGGTGTTGGACTCAACGATGTAGTTGACATTCTCCTCATGAATTTAAACAAACATTCCAGCACCTATGATGACTACTTCAGTTTTGTTTCAAAAACACTCTTCACTGGATGTCATTGCTCATTTTTAATGGTAATTTCAGGTCCCTCAGTCAAGTAGAAAATCTAACCATTTAGCTCTTATTCCAAAATCAGTCCTAGAGGAATTAAAAGAAAGACTTAATGATTTTGATCCCTTAACTTACCTTTTAACTATATGTGCAGCATACGAATCTATAGAAAACAGCTAGGATCTTGTTTACAAGATTTAAACTGCAAAGAGCTCTACAGAGAATCAATTGAAATGCCTTCAACATTAATTTTATCTGGAAACTTTTATAGAAACAATTAAGTAGAAAAGGATTTAGGATAAAATAAGGTATGGTTATGTAAGATTAAACAGCAGAGAAACCCATGTTCGATTTGTATCCAAAGATGAAGCAGGGTAAGATAACTTAATACTAAAAACAGCAGCTTTATGGTGCTCAAACTTAGTAATACTAGGGCATAATAAAGTATTTAGTTTCGAGGTTTATAAACAGAACAAAAAATATTTTTACAAAAACGTTTTTTGGCAGTACTATCACACATTGATGTAGAGCTAGGAGTTCATGTGGGCCATCGTCCCTACATGCTTTGTATCAAACATCATATGCTTAGCTATCTTGTTGGATACAAATTAGGGGCGCATTCCCAGTTAGTATTTAGACTTAAGTAGAAGTTTTCATTTTAAATTGGGAGAACAAGGAGGACACGGCAACAACTGCTACTTTTAAAACCTTTTATTTAGGAGAAGACCTTTTAACCAAAGAGCTTACCTGATTCTACTGTTGCGTTCAGACCGCACGCTGCTGAAGCAGCCGAGCAGCTGGTTCACATGCAAAGTCAATGGTTGACGTGCATCAAGGGGCATCTAAAGGTCCTGAAGCGTGTTTCGTGCAGCAGGAGCACCACATGAGCGCCTATGAGCTTATGAGCATCTGACACGCTTGACACGCTTCACAAGCAGCAGCTGCTGGAGTTGGAAAAATTTTACTTTTGCTGCTCGACGCGCCACATCAACCAATCAGAGAAGCTGATCTGGGAGATGGCAGCGAGACAAACACAGCGTTACTACTGCAGATAACTATGATCACTCCTCTGAATTATTGCCTAAATTAACTTAAAATGTTAAAACCTGCCAGCAAAATATGTTCGCTTTTATTATTCTGGTGCATGCAGTTTGAAAAAATGCTAACATCTCCTTCCAGCCGCCACAAACAGTAGCAAAAACCTCCAAGAGGTCACCGGGCCAGAGGATGCTGTTGAAGGGGATTTCCAGTGACAGCGCACTGCTGGTGTACGTGAGTTTTGTGCTGGATATGATCTTGGTGAACTGACTGCACAGATGAAGTTTTCAGGTGGACTTTCTCACTTAAAAACATATCAAAACTGCTTTTCAATTCAGTTCATTTATATAGCGCCAATTCACAACACATGTCATATCAAGGCACTTTACAGAGACAATTAAACCAGCTCATACAGTCAAATTGATTCAAAGTTTTCTATCTAAGAACAAACAGTTGATTGCATCGACTCATTGACTCAAAGACAATCCCTCACACTGAGCATGCTTGTAGTGACAGTGGAGAGGAAAAACTCCCTTTTAACAGGAAGAAACCCCCAGCAGAACTAGATTCAGTGTGAGCGGCCATCTGCCGAGGCCAATTGGGGTTCAAGGAGACAGAAGCAGAGATAGAAAAAGAAGCAGAGATACAAAAGACAACTATAAACCAGGTCCACAGGCGGCCCCATCCAGGAAACACACACCAAGATGAGCCCTGAACCAGCTCCCATGTCAGAAGATAAAGAGAACACATTCAGCCAGTCACAGTCAAAGAAACAGGCCTACTCTGAAAAACAGGCCGATCTCGAACATCTTTTTACCCCCTTATAACAGCAAATATAGCAATGCCGCTCTCTGCCATTGACCACAGGAGCAGCAGAAGCATCAGACGCATCTGTACACACTTTACTGGATGCGATTAAGGAGCATCAAAGATGCACTTGAGGCGCGTCGGACCTTAATGAGTAGAAGCATCAAAAATGAAGCAGCAAAAGCTTCTTTTTCTGCTGCCATTGCTTGCAGTCTGAACGTAGCATAGGCAATCAAAGTTTACTTTCAATTAACTTTGAAAGACCATTGCTTTGTTTCTTAACAACCTGCAGATTTCATCAGACAAAACGTTTCAATTTTTTTCAGTTTAAAACCAAACAAACATGACAATCTGTATAACGTGTGCAGTTGAGTGTAAGCACTATAGCAAGATTATGTAGATCATCACCAATCCCGATTTCTGCCTCTCATGATGAGCAGTTTATCTGCCGATTAGTCTGGCTTCTGGATTAGCTGGCAGGATTACTTCCACCTTAATAAATGAGGAATCTCCAGAAGCAACTAAACACAATTATAAAGAACCCCAGCCTTCAAGATGATTCGGCTTTGGTAATGAGACAGACAAGGTATAAATTGTGAAAAAATGAGGGAGATGGCAGCTTTACATTAGCCTCTACTGCAAAACGACCAAAATTACTTTGCACCAAAAAGCTTTCAAATAAACTTTCTTTTGCTTCTGCAGTGACAGAGCTTTGCTTTAAGCAGCTGCTGTGAAGCATTAATATGAGGAAGGGGTAAGCGAATCCATCAGGCTGCATGATGTCTTAAAAAAAAGAAGCAGATGGGTTAAGGATCTAATCGGGCCACTCCTTGGTTAAGCCAGACCGACAGTAACTAGTGGCACTAATACAAATGAAGTGATAATGAATGACTTGCATTACAGCAGCTATCTTTTTAGAGAGAGGTGCAGCAAATGCAACACTAGTGTTTTATCTCAATTTTAGGCAGAGAAGGAAACGAAGATGAGAGGAACATTAACGAGAGGAAGATAATAAAAGAGTAAATTAAGGCTGTGTAGTTTTGCAGAGAACTCGAGGCAGAGGGGGGGCAGGGGGGTCTCAACTGGTCAGAGAATCCCCTCCTGCAGGGCTTTATTGTCTACCACCCACGGCTGTGCAAAGAAAGCTGATTAGAGAGGACAGAGGGCTGTGTTACGCTGCAGCCAATCGCACCATGTTGCCATCTTTGCCTCATGTCTCTCTCTGTAAATTTCCGCCTTCGGAGATTCAAACTTGCCAGTAAAATGACTTCCTTTTAATCTCAGGATCTGAACTGCAAATTGCTTCAACTCTCTGCATAAATCCAGATGCAGAAAAATCCACCCTCCCAGCAGCTTCTGAAAACATCTTGTCTATTATTAAAAGCTTTTAAATGGAGCAGCGTGTTGGCTGACTACCAACTCCACCGCCTTGTTGCCAGGGAAACACGCATTCATGGTAGCTCTTTTTTTTTTTTCTTTTACCACCCCTCCCTTTTTCCTCCCCTGGAGGATCATATTTCAAGAGTGTCAGCAATCCGGTGTGCTCACACTGCTGCCTTTCAGCTAAAAGCTTTTTGTGCTGCCAGTGGAGCAGAATGGAGGGCAAAAGAGAGAGGATGGGAGTGGTTAGCAAAGAGGGGAGGGAGCCAGGGGGATAAAAAGGGCCCTCTCTCACCGTTGCCAAGGCAACTTGATGTCACGGTGACATCACGCAGTATTAAAAGCTTTTAACCGGATTTCTCTCCTGCCTTAGGCCCCATTTTGAGTCCTCTTTCAGCTAGGCTAGGGGGAAGGGCAGAGGCAGGCAGGACGGCTGTGGCTGTGCATGCTCTTTTGCATGTATCCCTCCTTCCCTGCAGACTCAACCCAGCTCTTATAACAGTAAAAAGACTTTTAAATTCATGCTCTAAAGCTCCCACCTTTGCAAAAACAAAAAAAGAAAACGAAAGAAACCCACAGCCAGCTCAGGCCAAGACAGAGACATAAAGACTCCAAAATGGCAGCAGACGATAGTTTCAGCTACCTGATGCCAGGTCACAACGAGAAACACAGACGGGCCCCGAACTGGACCGACGGCGAAATGAAGGCCCTCCTATACGTGTGGGAAGAATTTCACAACGAGCTGAAAACGAGCAAGAGGAACGCCAAGGTTTACGAGAAGATGTCCCAGAGGTTTTTCCAGCTCACTGGAGAGCAACGCTTCAAAGAAGAGATTAAGATGAAAATCACTAACATGTCCTTCCAGTTCAGGCAAGTGCTCCACGTCCTACAGATGTACCTACTCACAGGTCCAGATGATGCATGGATACTATAAACCAAATCGGAAAAAAAATCTTTCTTTGCTCCTACAGGCGACTGAAGGCCACAGCCAGCGAATCAGGCGAGACGCCGGACTGGCCTTACTACAAGGCCATCGAGAAGATTCTCTCCAAGCCGCTGGAGAACGGCAGGGTGAACTCGCTGGAGTTTCCGGCCCCGGCCGGAGGTCCATCCACTTCGTCCCAGTCCACAGACAACCCCTTGCCCCAGTCGGAGGAGGGTGTGATTGGCTTCCTGCCAGAGTACACTGGCTCATCAGATGACATGGACATAAAACAAGAGTTGGACTCTTTGAGCTCAGACAGCGAGCACATGCTGGGCTCCAGGTAACATCAAGACTAAACACCTCATATGAGTGTGTTTTTATCATAAGGCAAAGCAACACATTTTTAGCTTCTTTTAAACTATTCAGCTTATTATTACTTTTACTACAAGGACAACGACAATTGTTAAATATGAGCGCCATTCCTAAAAATCTATATATCAAGACTTACTTTTAGAAAACGTAAGTCTTCATGTATCTATGCTTTACTAAATATAGATAATATAAAAGTCCTCTGTTAAACCTAAATATTTCCATATTCCTGAAAAACACAAAGTAGTTTGTTGCTGGTAGAAAATAAGACAGATCTATAAAATGATGATAAAAAGACATTTAATATTTTTATCTTAGATTTAGCTTTAAAAATGTTTATACCCTTCCTATATACCCGTTATATCCACTTCTGCATTCTTGGTTTTGTATTTCCAGTGACATTTTTATGATTTTTTATTTTTTTTTATGATGGCTTCATCTCTTTGGACTTTGTTTGCTTTCATAAAATAATTTGGCCCTGCACTTGACCATTTCCGGAGGAACATTAGTTTTTTTTTCTTATTTTGCTAATGGAGAAAAAAACGTGCACGTATTTAAATTCATACAACATTTAGAAAAATATAGCAATTAAATCAAAGATCACAACATTTATAAAAAATAATCAAATTCAATGAGGAAGGTAACAAAATTTTATCTGAAATGGCAAAAACCGGAAAAGGGGAAGAAATAATAAAATGCAAAAATATGGTTTTATTCTGTAAAAATTTGTTAATTGCTATAAAAGAAATTATGAAAGATAAAGATGCATAATACATTTAACCAGAAGCCAAAGTGAATAAATCTTTTCTTTAAAAACTGCAGGGTGAACATGTGTCTACACATAACTAAACAGGAAATTAAATGGAATCTTAGGCCAGACAATCTAAAGGACTCTACACCAAAACAATGCAAGGATGTTCACAATAATGGCCCGGTGGTGCAGAATTTAAAAATAGAGTGCAGATAAAATGAAGGATGGTAAATCTCTCAGCTTTTACTTGTCCATTTTTGGCTTCATCTATATGAATTCAATCTTGATAGTTATTGTTCTTTTAAAGCTCATTCTGCTTAAAATCTTCATAAATTTACTCCTCTCTGGTCCTCAGCTCCCATCCTGTCTCATTTAGAAAGAGGCGTGCCAAAAAATATCTGTCCCTGAAGAGGAAGAAGCTGCAGGTCATGCAGGCCATGCTTCAGCAGCACAAGAAGTCCAGCCAGGCCATAGAGGAGACGTGCAGGGAGCTCCGTCGGTCCATGCACCAACAGAACCTTCTGCAGGTCCAGTGTCTGCAGCTGCAAGAGAGGATGATGAACCTCCTGGAGAAAATGATCCAGCTTCCCAGCTCTACGTCAGCAGTTTGGAGTCAGAGTGGCGCAAAAGATCCAGGGAAACCTTGAAGGGCTGGGAAAGCATCACGGAACTCCCCAAATTATAGGAAAAGCAGGCTGCTTTACTTTAGGCATCAAATTAGGTTATTATTACATTAAAATCACATAATAACTGTTAGAACACTGCAGATAAGACTACCACAAAGATATGCTTTTAAATGTTTTGTGGGGGTGTCTGAAATGTAATTCTAAAAGAACTGTAAAGACTGTTGTTTAAATCTTAGCAACCACTGTTAGTTCGATTTGAATGTAGCCTTTTTTTAGACTAGAAACCGAGTCTCGGTAACTTGCCAAGTATTCAATTAAAAGAACTAAAAACAGCATTTGAGAATCCAGTCTGTTTGTTCCTTCTGCCTCTGTGATTCCTGTCAGGAATATCTTCTTACATCAAATGAGACACAGCCAGAATCTAACTATTCACAGCACAAATTCATTCAGGATTCAAGGATCTCTTTATAAATCTTCAGAGAAAGCCTTTTTTGGAAATTCTTTCAGATAATTGAGATCATTTCAGATAATAACTGCAGTAATTGCAGTTTACCTCAGCAATACACATCTGAATTTTGTTATTAAAGCATTCAAAGTGCTGCTTATTCAGGTGGAATAAAAAAAAAAATGCAAAATCTGATATTTTTTTATTTTTTTTATTTTTTTTTCCCGTTTGATCGCAGAGGAATCATTTAAAAAGCTACACTATATTGCCAAAAGTATTTGCTCACCTGCCTTGACTCACATATGAGCTTAAGTGACATCCCGTTCCTAATCCATAGGGTTCAATATGACGTCGGTCCACCCTTTGCAGCTAGAACAGCTTCAACTCTTCTGGGAAGGCTGTCCACAAGGTTTAGGAGTGTGTTTATGGGAATTTTTGACCATTCTTCCAGAAGCGCATTTGTGAGGTCGCACACTGATGTTGGACGAGAAGGCCTGGCTCTCAGTCTCCGCTCTAATTCATCCCAAAGGTGTTCTATCGGGTTGAGGTCAGGACTCTGTGCAGGCCAGTCAAGTTCATCCACACCAGACTCTGTCATCCATGTCTTTATGGACCTTGCTTTGTGCACTGGTGCACAGTCATGTTGGAAGAGGAAGGGGCCAGCTCCAAACTGTTCCCACAAAGTTGGGAGCATGGAATTGTCCAAAATGTCTTGGTATGCTGAAGCATTCAGAGTTCCTTTCACTGGAACTAAGGGGCCAAGCCCAGCTCCTGAAAAACAACCCCACACCATAATCCCCCCTCCACCAAACTTTACACTTGGCACAATGCAGTCAGACAAGTACCGTTCTCCTGGTAACCGCCAAACCCAGACCCGTCCATCAGATTGCCAGATGGAGAAGCGCGATTCGTCACTCCAGAGAACGCGTCTCCACTGCTCTAGAGTCCAGTGGCGGCGTGCTTTACACCACCGCATCCGACGCTTTGCATTGCACTTGGTGATGTATGGCTTGGATGCAGCTGCTCGACCATGAAACCCATTCCATGAAGCTCTCTGCGCACTGTTCTTGAGCTAATCTGAAGGCCACATGAAGTTTGGAGGTCTGTAGTGATTGACTCTGCAGAAAGTTGGCGACCTCTTCGCACTATGCGCTTCAGCATCCGCTGACCCCGCTCCGTCAGTTTACGTGGCCTACCACTTCGTGGCTGAGTTGCTGTCGTTCCCAAACACTTCCATTTTCTTATAATACAGCTGACAGTTGACTGTGGAATATTTAGGAGCGAGGAAATTTCACGACTGGATTTGTTGCACAGGTGGCATCCTATCACAGTTCCACGCTGGAATTCACTGAGCTCCTGAGAGCGACCCATTCTTTCACAAATGTTTGTAAAAACAGTCTGCATGCCTAGGTGCTTGAATTTATACACCTGTGGCCATGGAAGTGATTGGAACACCTGATTCCAATAATTTGGATGGGTGAGCAAATACTTTTGGCAATATAGTGTATGTGGATTAGCAATATTCACATGTTATCTAAGATACCACATAGTACAAAATGTATCAGTCCTTTGTTACTCTTTATAAAGCTTAATTATATTAGCTTAAAGTGGAAATGAGGCGATTAACCAAACTAGCTTTATTCAGGAGACTGGCCTTTATTTGAAAGTAAGCTGACATAAAATGGAGCAAGACATACAAGCACATAAGTAGAGGACTAAAAGCTGAGTTATAGTCACTAGCTGCATTTCCATCACAAAGTGCAAAACTAAGTTATAATGTTTCCAAATTGCTGTATTTCAATTAAATGGCAAATACAAATACTATTGCATGTGAAAATTTATGTTCACACCATTACTCAGATGTAAACACATGACATATCTATAGTTCAGCCACGGCTCTAGTGGGCGCCGTCATCCTACTACTTCTAGTCTACTTCTTTGTGCTTTTATAAGACAGTAAGGTCCAGTTAAAGATCCAATGACCCACGTGATGGAAATAAAGTGTTTCAATGGCAGTTTTGCTAAATATAAGAGCTGCCCCCATGGAATTGTAAAAAAATTTTAACAAAAGACATTATGTTTTTTTTTTTTTTTTGTTATTGCAGTGTTTCCACCTAGCGTTATTGCAGTTTCCACAGTTTAATGGTTAAAGGAAATGCACCTACTTTTCAGGGTGTCACACAGGTCTCCACATTCAATGTGCAAGCCAGAACAAGGCCTTAATACGTAATAAATGCAGATATTAGAACAGTAAAACATAGTGAGCAGTAAACTTCAAAAACAATGGAAAGGTGAAAGAAAGAAAAAATACTTTATGATGCAACCCTTTTGCATTGATAACTTCATTCTGTTTCTTGGTAGTTTTTGGACTCATAGGAGTAAACAAAAGTAAACAGTTTTGAACCCTTTGTAAAGGAAATAAAGCTGTATACAACTTTGGATTCTAATCAATGTGTACAATCTAACATAAATCAGATTATGTTACTTTTACCTTTTTCTGTTGGTTGTTTTTCTTTTTAGTTATTCTTTTTCTTCTGTTCTTAAGTAATTATTTATTTTTTAAAGAAGTTTGCGTCTTATTCTTTCTGAAGGGGCAATGCATTTGCAGCCTGTGTTGAGTTGCAAAAATTTTGGGATGCATGACTTCGCACAGCAAGGCATGCATTGTACGTGCACAGTGGCAGGCACAGTGTGGTTGAGTCATTGTTGGCATGCACACCCTCACACCCATTTCAATGCATTGAGTACAAACCTAGCTTTAGGTCTTGCGCTTTATCCCTGTGCCACCACGCTTTTACCTCAGACATATTGAAGAATGGAGAGTGAGCAGAGTGACTGTGGTAGTTTTGTCGCTTACTTTAAGGTGCTGACTTATGCCCCATTTACACTACCCTTTGTTAAATAGTGCTGAAAACCATGCTCGTTGTGATAACTTTTGAGTGTAATGGCCCGCAAACTGAGCCGGACCGTGCCAAAAACAACCTAACCACGTTAAACTAGTAGTAGTTCAACAGTAGGGCTCGGCACGGTTTAGTTGTGACTCGGTTTTCAGATAACAAAGAGCGCATGAGCAGACAGCTTCATCTCCTTACAGTCAGCTTCCAGTGGTTGGCAGTAATGCACATCAGTAAGTCGCTGTTTCCTGCGCCTGTAGGCACTAATTAGACTATCGTTTGTAGTATCCACTTCCCAAAAGCCGACTCTGGCAAGCAAATTCACCAAAGGCTGCCTTCTTCGCCTGTCTGACCGCAAAGAACGAAATATCACAATTATAACCAAACATAACTTTCTTAATGTTACAGGTTTCATTGTTTTGATTTGCTTGATTCCCTCCTTCAAACCTAGACAGCAGTAGTACCGTAGTTTGTCACTAGGGGACGAGGAACCTTGCTAACGTGATGTGCAAATGGTTGTAAGGAACCAAGCTCGGCACGATTAACTGATCCAAGCTCAGTCCAAACTTGAGAGTTATATATATACATATATATATATATATATACATATATATATATATATATATATATATATATATATATATATATATATATATATATATATATATATATATATATATATATATATATCAATTTGGGGCTATGTACCAGTGAGGAAAGTGTGCACCAGCATGTCCCTTTTGAACCGGAAAATGCAGCTGCAATAGCCACTGTTCATTCCTACAAAAGAAGCAGTAAAGACTCACTTATGTTTGACCCACTTACGTTCAATGAGACACATAGACACAACATCTTGAGTATTTATACTATTTGCTGTTTTTTTCCTTTGTCCCTAATATGCTGGTCAACTCTACATTAGTATGTATGGCACAGAAGGGAAGTTTTACAACACCAATCAACATGTAGAATTAGAAAGCACGGGTGTTTACAACATTTTCAATGCCTCCTCATGTCATCCAAGACTGACAGTAATTCCTTCCCAAGAGTTTTTCCATAATCTGTTGATCATAGTTATATTTATGGGCTAACCATAACCACCATATTTTTTTGACATGGAGCTGCCTGTGTTGTTTCATATTGTTCTAGGTGCACATTGCAAACATCTAGGCTGCACAGATACGCCACAGAGGGGCACAGGTGCTAGACTTACGTAATTTGGCCACACAGGACTTGATAATTCCGTCTTTGAGGTTGCCCACTGGGCTCCACAAATTGATTTAATTAATTAATCACTCTGGATCACAATAGTAATACAAACAGAGGTTAATAAATATGCTACTTACAAACTCAGTAAAAGGTCTGCATCAGTTTGGGATTCTGTTTTTTGTTTGAAGCGGTATCATGTAAGTTAGCAGGTTAACCCGGGTCTCATGTTCCCACTGTTGTCACACTCCGGGTTCCATCCGGGTGCAGGCCAGTTTTTCTCTCTCTCTCCTCTGCAGGGATGGACGGGCAGGTGCACTACATCTGAGATGATCACCACCCTTCTTAAGGAGCTGGAACCAGGAGGAGGGCGTCAGTTCGTTAACGTCACAGCGTTGGTAACAGACCAAACCCAAGCCTAGTCCTAGTCGAAGTAAAAGTCTAGTCTAGTCTAGTCTGAATCTATTTTCGATCCTTTTCCTGCAGAACCCTTGTTTCTGACCCCTGGACCCAGCCGTGAATCTAAGACTTTGGACCCTCCGCCTGAGATACAACCAAGAACCTGAGAAGGATCTCGGGTTAACCACCGTTCAGCCCTCCTACCTGCGATCGCCTGCCTGTCCACCCTCGAACCTCCAACCAGGAAGAGAGTACTGGTCAGCACACGGACCACCGGGGACACTTCCCCCCCAAGACCGGACCACAGCCTCTCTACTGTGAGTGTCACCCCCACCAAGATCCTCCAGCTCAGTTTCCTCTCATTCACCAGCCTCTTCTTCTCTGCAGAAGCCCA